ACCTTTACTTGACATGAATCTTTTGTTTAGATTTAATTATATTTGTGCTTTAATTGATTGATTTTGTGTTTTATAGGTGAAAAACGGGAATTAAGGGTCCATCAAGGAAAAAAACTCAAAAAGAAAGGAAAAAATTGCAAATAAGGAAGTAAATCAAATTGGAAGAATGAATCTCGCAACAGGTTTGGTAGTGTCCACCATTTCGAGCATATCTCACTCAAACAAACTCCAAATCACTTGATTTAAGCGGCATTGGAGAGCTAGTTTCAAGGTCAAAATCGGATTCAAAACCGACCGAAGTGCAGACAAAGCTTCGGACGGTCGTCCCAATTTTGTACTAAAATCTGTGACGGCCGTCCCGTCATCCGAAGTTGAGCAGTAGGCTACGGACGGTCGTCATAAAATGGCCTGAAATCTCAGACAGCTGTCCGAGACCCCTATTTTGCACAGTTTGGAAGTTTTAATTGCACAAGGAAGCTCTTCCCTTTTGATCAAGTCTTAACCACTGTATAAATACAATTCAACGGGATCCAATGACGACAAAATTTTACACCACAAAACGTGAGGAACGAAGATCAACAAAGACTCAAGCATAGTTTTTCTTATTTAATTTATTTATTTTATTTGGTTTATCATAAAAATCACGAGTAGCTAAGTCTTTAGTTTCTAAGATTTTATTCGAACCCTATGTGGGATTTATGCACCATTTTCTATGATTTTATGCAAGTTTTAATTTCGGGTTATTTCTTTTACTTGTTTTATTAAATGCATGAAACTTGACACTTTATATGCTTTTATGTTATTGTTAAACGCATGAATCGGAAGATCGGTTTAATAATTAGAACTTTGGTAGAAGAAGCTTTGATGTGCTATCATAGGAATATAGTTAGCCTCTTAGGTAGCCATTATTGAGATCTATGCTTAATGCTATGTTTTAGATCTAATTACGTAGGAATACATTAATTTAATCTAGAATATTAGAATCGTAATACACGGGAAAACGGGTTATGATTAATTTAGTATCTCAGGTTAATAATTCGAGTTAATTACTTGCATAATTGAAGGAATTTGGGAATTAATAATCACATAGGGGAAGATAAAATCCTAGGGCTTTTTAATTTGATTAATCTTTGTGTTATTTGCTCTTGCTTGATGTTATTTGCTTTTTAGTAATTTATCTAATTTAGGAATCTTCTCCAAATTAGACTGTGTATGGTAGGCTTGAAGCCTTGAACATAATTGTAAGAATCTAGTGCTTAGAATTAGATAGTTGAATATTCCCTGTGGGATCGATATCCAGACTTAATTGTCCACTATATTACTTGTACGAAAATGTGTACTTGCGTGTAGGTATTTCAACCAACAATGATGATGAAGAAATAAATAAATTTGAGGATGAGGCTTTGGCTGAAGGTATACATGTATGAAATTGGTGATTAATTTGAAGAGATCGAGCTAAGTTTGCAGAATATGATGTGATGGAAGAGATGAGAGAGAGAAGACTATAGTGTGTGAATGGTGGAATTCTGTTTTTTTCTTTTAGAATAATTTGAGCAAATAGTTAATTCAGAAATAGTACGACACCCATCATCTTCGTTGATTCCTCTTATTAAATGCATTAAATTTTGTAGAGGAAATTCAACTACCAACTTGTCACTTGTGTAGTAGTGTAGAGGAAAATGATTGATATCACATTTTCTAAAAGAATTGATACAGTTTTCAAACTTGGATCCTTTCTTTCGGTAAATTTTAGAAAATGTTTTAAATGCTATATTTAAAGGGCAAATGGCAAATAGGCCCATGACAATGCACTTAATTAAAAGAGGGATATCCAACTTTTGTCTTTCAAATAAATCCAGGTCATTCAAACTTATTTGCAAATAAGGAAAATCCCTTTATATATACCAAAATTACCTCCAATTCATTGAAACTCAATTCAACTCCAATTTCATGATTTACACCCCAATTTAGCCCAATTTCATCAATTAACCAATTTTAACCATAATTTCAATTTTGACCCCAATTTTGACCCGCCACCACCAGAGACCGCCTGCCGCCGCCGTTGACTTTGTTTTTTTTTTGAAAAACTTTTTTTTCCCTGAAATTTAGCAGCCAAGAAAGTAATATTAATTAAAATATTTTTTTTCAAGAAAAAACAAAATTATAAAAATAAAAATAAAAATAAAAAAAGACAACGTCGGAAAAAAAAATTCAGGAAAAAAAAAAATTTTCAAAAAAAAAACAAAAAAAAAAGTCAACGCTGGAATCTGGCCGGAAAAAAAATTCAGAAAAAAAATTATTTTCTGAAAAAAATAATATTTGGGGGTTTATTTGATATATTTGTTGAAATCCGGGGTCAATGTGTAATATTAAGGAAGTTAGAGCATAATGGATGGAATTGATAAGAATTATATAATGGAGGGTATTTTAGACTAAAGACATGGGGATGGGTTTAATTGAGAGACTGTTTTTTTAGTGGACCAAAATGCATTTAAGTCCCATGTGATGGGCCTTTTTGCCATTCGCACATATTTAAATAGTGGTTATTAGTATAACCAAGGGTGTGCAGCACCAATAACATTATACACACTGAATTATTTGTATTTGAAATATATATTCATTATTGTTAACGATGTTCATGCTAATTATAATATGAAATTCAACTTACAAAATTTTAGGTTAATGGTTGTCAAGCTTTTTATTGCTGCGATCCCGCAATTTGCGACGGATTTAAACACATAATTTAGGTTTGATCAAAAGAATAAATGCTCTGCAAGCCCAAGTTCCACTGCAGATTCCTGTGTTGTTGGATAAGATATCATATCTGGAGTTTCTATTGGAGTTGAAGAATGATGAATAATCATC